GCTGAAGGCAGGCATCCTGCTGGAGCTGAACCAGGCCTTTGTCTCCGCTGAGGATACCCGTTTAGCCTCTTTCCCCAAACCAATAAAAGCATTTTTGCGGAATGGTTTTGAAGTATTGTCGTGTTTGTCAGGGGCTGTCACGAGATTATCTTCCCCATCCCTTCATTATATCTGGGGCCCAATGCCTGGGGTGGGTCTTTCTGAAGTCATGGTTTGGGGCGCTGTGACGTCACAGGAATTGGGAACATAATATTTCTCTAAGCATGTGTGAGGGAGTGAGCTAGGCATTGTGGCTTCCCTACCTGAGCTCCTAAGCAAGTATATTACATGTCATGTTGGACACAGGAAGCCAGTGAACCCTGCTGCCATTCAGACAGGGTTGGAGTTGGGTACCCAAATACTATGGCCACCCTGCAACAATAAACAAGACTCGCTCCTTCCCTTCCACCACTGCTCCTTACATTTGTTTGCGCGCCCTGGAGATTCAGGGGGCCCAACCATTTCCTGGCACAGCAGCTCCTTCTCTGAGACCTGGCAAGCCGTATCTTCATCATCAACACTGTGAGCACTCCATGGACAGCTTCTTGCAAGAGTACAAGTGGGGAGAAAAATTGCCACTTCAAGGAAGCTTATAGTCCAACCTCTCATGAAAGTGCCACAACTGAGGAAATGGAAAAGGGCCATGATTTGGAGATGAGCATACGTTAAAATTAATGAGGATCCATGCCATGGATGGCAAAAATTCACTGGTGCTGCATAATCTACTACTCGAAGGCAGTGGCTGCATCTATAGAAATGCCTAGTGTATCATGGCTGGAGTATATACGACACTGCAAGCTACCAGGCATTTTGTCCATGGGCAAAGGAAGCCAGACTCAAGAAATCCTGATTTTATCTCTCAACTTCCCTAATTAAAACTGACATAGAGATACCAGCTGTAGAGAGGGGGAAAAAAGGAAAATGTGGGTGTATTGGAACTGGAAGCAACCATGGGGAGTGGAAATTGCTACCAAGGATGTGGATGTTGCCGAGCAGTCAATTCCTCTAACAACTGCTAGTAAATCTTTTTGTTTATAGGCCCCTTCGAATTCAATTATTCTATGATTACTTGTCAGTGTTAGCATTGAAGCTTCTACACAATTCCTTCCAAGTTCAATATACATTCCATTTTCTAAGAAACAAGGTGCTGAGGAGTGCATAGGACCATTGATTTTATTTAGAAGAAAAAGTATAGGGCCACTGCTCTTATTTTTATTGCAAGCAAAGTGATATCCAAGCTATTGCAGCAAAGGTCTTTATCTTATATGGAGCGAGAAATGTCCGATGTTCAAGCTGGATTCTGAAAAGGAAGGTGCACTCAAGATTTTATTGCAAATATATGCTGGCTACTGGAGCACACCAAAGAATTTCAGAAGATCATTTTTCTTTATCGACCAGTGGTCCCCAATCTTTTTAACATCATGGACCAGTTGGGGAAGGCGAGGCACCACCGTGCTCACATGGATGAGCGAAAGGGCGGGTGCATATGTGAAGGGGCGCTTGCATGCGTGCATGTGCAAAGGAGTGGGGGTTTGGGGGACACTTGTACCCATGCACGAAAGGTGGGGTGTGCACATGGGCATTCACACGCATGCACAAAGGGGCTGCGGGGGGGGATTGCATGTGGGTGGGAGATCTGTCTGTGTGGCCTGGTCTGCCCCAGGCCATGGAACAGCGCTGGGCTGTGGACCAGGGGTTGGGGACTCCTGTTATAGACTACAACACCACCTTCCGACTATGTGGACCATGAGAAACTGGGTTTTTCTGAAAGAAATGGGTGTGCTTCAGCTCTTGATTGTCCCGGTGCGTAACTTGCATTGTAGACAGAATATGGTGGTACGGCATGGTTTCCTATAGACAAAGGTGTCAGAAAAGATTACATTTTATCTCCTTTTCTGTTAGTCGGTACACAAACGTATTATATGGAAAGCCACACTAGATTCAGATGAAGGAGTGAAAACTGACAGAAGAAACATCAATAATTTAAAATGTGCAGGTACCACCATCTTGCCAGCAGAAAGCAGCAATGACTTAAAACGTTTAGTGAAAGAAGAAAGTTCCAAAGCGGGATTGTAGTTAAATATTAAGATCAAAATAATGACCCCAGAAGAAATAAAAAATTTTAATGTTGACAATGAAAAGACTGAAATAGTGTACTTAGAAATTTTGTATACCTTGATTCAGTCATCAATGCAAATGGTGACTGCAGCCAAGAAATCAGAAAAAGACAGAGACTTGGAAGGGGAGCAATGAAGGAATTAGAGATAATCAAATGTAACGATATGTCACTGGAGATTAAGACCATTCATACTCTTGGATTGCCAATTACCATGTATGGGTGTGAAAGCTGGACAGTAAATGAAGCTGACAGGAAAAATAAAAGATTTATTTGAAATGTGGTGCGGGAGGATAGCTTTGTCGATACCCTGGGCTGCCAGAAAAACAAGTGGATCAAATCAAGCCAGAGAATGAAACAGAGGCTGTCCTACTTAGGGCACATCATGAGAAAACAGGACTCTCTGGAAAAGACAATAATGCTGGGAAAGGTTGAAGGCAAGAGAAAAAGAGGAAGACCATATACAAGATGGACTGATGTCCTAAAAGAAGACACGTGCTTCAGTTTGTGTGTGTGTGAGTGGTTGCCATGTTTGTGTGTGTGTGAGCATGTTGGCAAATTCAAAGGGGTAAAGGGGAAGAAAAAGGGAAATTATGGTAGAGTTCCTGTATTTCAGAATGTAACTTAAAACATTCTAAGGATGTTGGAAATCAGCACTGTCCTGATCTTGGTTTAACTTTCTGCCAGCTTGTGAGCCTGGGCTGAGAATGGCTTGAAGCTGGGATAATTCAGCTCTTCCACTGCTCCTCTTTTTCTCTGACCATCTCTCCCTCCCTTGGCTCTTCTTCTTGATTCCAGCTACCCCAAGAGTTTTGCTGCCACAAGTGGCTTTTTCCCCATTCCTCCTCAAATCCACTACAGCTGGTGCAGCTCTTAGTTTTGATTGTACTGCCCGTTCCTAATAAATATGGTTAGGACTCTCGTATAAACTGAATAATCAGATTAACAGCCAATATTATGTATGCTAAATCTGTAAGCATCTAATTAGACATACTGAACTTTTCCAATTTTAATGATGTTAAAAATTTAATGATGTTAGGTGCATTTAATTCTGTACAGAATTCAGTTACACACTAATGAAAGCTCGTAGCTATAATAAAATCCATTATTAGAAATCAGACACAGTATTTGAAAATAAAGACACTTTTGGGTATTTATTCTAATGTTATTACAACATGCAAGATACAAAACAATTAGAAAATTTGTAAAATTACACAGAAGTATAATGAAAATACATGATAGAAATAATATAAAACAAAGCCACTCATTTCTGCAATTATCAAATATTGCAAATATCATTTATCAAATCACCCTTATAATATACAAAGTACATTTTATGATAGCTCCTTCCTCTTACTGCAGTTGATAATGGGTTAGACCCAGATTTTGTCATACATAATGTAATCTCATTGAAATCAATGGGACAAAAATTTGTCATGGTCATGGATCCAAACAACCCAATGACACAGTACTCTTCTATGACTGACTAGCCATGCCTCAGTTCTAGTGAGTTAAACAAGACTTACTTCTCAAGTTAGCATGTTTTGGATATAAGTTATATACTGGATTTATTTCTTCATATTATTCTTCAAGCCATTTATCTGGAAGTATAAGTGAATACAGCTTTTTAACCCTGACACTTGTATGTAAATTTCCATACTTTCCGTGAGGTACTTTCAAGTACATTTAGGACTGTGTAACGCTTGTGAACGATTGCAGCCACATTACTGGGCACACCATATTATAAAAGTTTCAGCTCTTTTCATGCAGGATACATTTCTAACTTGCCATTTTGGCAAATGTGAGCTCTTATTTAAAATTTTCTTAAAACAGCAATAATAATTTCCATTTACTGTATTGATAACATATGGCACATACAGAATCAAACAAAATTGAATAACCCCTTCTGAGTACAACATCTAAAGACTAAAAATATACTTTTTAAATGGAAAAAGACTTTAAAGAGCTACCATAGAGGTATGGTAGTAAATCCCTTAATAGAACAGAAATCTCAGGCTTTCTTAGGCTGAGGCTGTGTGGCCAACCTCCAAACCACCGAATTGTAATTGATCAGCTGCTTCTTATTACATCAGGAAAGACTCTTGTTCCCCATTGCTCAGTTCTGTCTACTTTGGCAGTCAGCTGCTTTCTGGGGTATCAAGCAGTGACATTTCACATCACTGACTACCTTATCCTTTTTCTCAGCCGAAGATGCCAAGGACTGAACATGGATGCATATTGTGTCCTCTATCAACGAGACATACTATTCTCTTTTCTGCCATGGAGTACAGAAGGTTTGGATACTACAGGGCATAGAAAGAAATACAGTATAAGTGATTCCCTGCACTTGATTCATGCAAAATGTATATGATAGATTAAGGGGGTGATGGTGTCAGAAGCCATTTCTTTGCTTTCAGCGCAAAGGTGACTTTACGTGGTTTCTCATCAAAGTGCAGCCACTGCTGTTGGAGGGACCAGGATGGATGAGGTGCTAGAAAAGAAATATTCTTTTCCTTTCATCAGCAAGGGATATATAATTCTAAAGATTCAAAGACTTCAACTGAGAACTGTTTCATCTGTACCCAAGGAAATTATCCCAGTGCCCAGTTCTTGAGCCACGTACACTTTAGACCTGGGAATACATTTAGTTGCATTAAAATCATTTTATGGTCTTTATGTGCAAGGTTGGGGTACATACACCTTGTTAATGAGAATTAAAGGCATTGTTTCCTTGCTCATCTCCAAGCCTATTATATATCTTTATGTGAACAGGTCCAAATACTATAAAACTTTTCTTTATTGAATCCTTGTTGGTATTCTTTTTTCTTTTCTTTTTGTAGTTTGTTAGTAAATAAAAACTGTAGTGTTTGGGGGAATAAGGAAATGTTAGCATTTGGGCTTGTTAAAATGCTGTGTAGAGTATGAATTTGTAGTGGTTAAAGGAGAAAGGTTTTGATCTTCTAAGCAATTAAGTACAAGGCAGAATTAATAAGAAAATAAAGAAGAGTCTTGTACATAGGGATTTTCTTCTAATATTGCTCTCTGAGAAGGGCTTCTCTTAGGCATAGCCCTGATGTTTGGAAGAAAAAGTGTTTACAAAATGAAGCAGACTCTGTATTTATATGAAACTGGGAAATATTACTTTTTTGAATCCTCCAGTCATTGTTATGCCAGTGACCGAATTGACTGTGAAGTTCTGGGAATTGCCCCCCAAAACAACACTTCCAGACTCAGCTGATACCTCCTCACCAGTATTTTCAAAATACGGAAATGCTAATACAATTTCAAACATCCATTAGCACTCATAAAGAATTACAGAATTCCTATTCTCTAGACGCTAAATCTCACCATACAGTGAATCTTTGGTTCCCTAGTAAATTAAGACAAAAACACCACACACTGCAGTTCTACAATTTGTTATAAAATATCTAAAAGGAAAATACATTTTATATTGTACAGAAATCTTGTATATTAAACAAAGGCATCACACTTTTCCCTTTTACTTCTTAATACTGAAATATTGAAGGGTATACCAATACTTTAAAACTATGATTTATTTATTTTTTTATTAGGAACATTCTGCTCTGCATGATAGAATTTGTAAGAAAATGCCACCAAATCTCTATGCTAGGCTTAGGGTGATCTGATTATCCATTTTGGAGCACTACAATCTTTTAAGCAGCTTTTCTTTTCTTTTGCTATGGCAGTGATTAAAACAATCTAAATATTAATGCCCCCTTCCAAAGTATGTGTTTCATTTGGGAGCATAACGGAAGGTGATCTGTATCTTCAAATTTGTGTGGTTTGTCAAATGTAACTAAATATGGCTTTTCACTCCCAAATCTGAGGCTATCATTGCATTATGCCCTGTCACTTTGCATCATTTTACTACAACATGAAATGGGTGTAGCCTTCTGCCCCTGTAACTATTACATCCATCCATATCCGCATAGCTTCTGGTGTTGGGGCCACCATGTAATATATTCGATCATGAGTCTTAACACTGAAGGTAAGTAATGGATTAGGACTCTAGAAAGAAAGAAAGAAATATATGCAATCAGTGGAATAATATGACCATTCTTATATTACTATTAAGCAAGTGATCATAACCATGTGCTTTTCCAGAATGTGTACATTTGCTTTGCCCAGCTGATAGTGGGAGACTGATCAGATGCAAAAATGTACAAATTTTCTGAATCAGTTGTTTATAGACAAGGAAATTCCTATAATCACAGGAATTGCAAGCTCTGTGTCAGGATGTGCAAAAGTTACTTTTTTTCAATTACAGCTTTCCCAAGCCAGCATGGTCTGTGGCCATGCTGGCTAGGGGGATTCTGGGAGCTGTGGTCCAAAAAGTAACAATTTCTACTATAATTGTGTAGACGCTAGAGGTTCTAATAGATTGATTACCCTACTCCTTCCATATGGGCTTGCAGTGTAACTTAAAAGAGTATAAAAGAATATAGCAGAGCAGGGGTGAGTCATGGGCCTATAGGGAGATACCCTCTGACTTGGTCAAGAACTGTCCCTGCCCCAGGTTATCCTTTGACGGACCACAGGATTTCACAACTAGTGTCATTTCAGACAGAAGGATCTTAGAAGTGAACAGCCTTTCCCCATTACAGTATTAGTTTTTAGCTAAGGGACTTTTTTTTACCTTATAAGCATTCTTCAGGTGATCATAGTAGACCTCTTCAATGGCTTGGAAATAAATTACTCCTTTTAATTTAGTTTCATGTTTGTCTGCAATAATGGAAAGACACTGAGTTGAAATGAATATGCCATCATAGGGATTAGAGGATTATCTCTCAGGAATAATTTGAAGATGAGAATAAAATGTTTATCTACAAATTATCAAAGGAAAATCTTGGCTTCTTTCATCAGCAGAATTATTTTTATATAGCACGCTAATTCAATTAAATAAATTAAATAAAGCATAGATTTAATGGAAATAAAGGTGCAGTATTACTTATCTGAAGTATCTTTTAACACAGGACAAAGGAGAACACTACAAATGTGGACTGTTTCTGATGTTCACAGACTAATTTGGCAAAGAAAGAGATATGTGGGTGGTGCTCAGGGCCATTAGTTATTTTGGCTGCTGTCTAGCATATGGTTGCAAGCAGAATCTTGCAAGACAGAGCAATCCTTAATCAGCTGTGAATGTAAAACTATTCAAAGACTACTGCAAGCTGCCATATTCATAGCTCGTTATTCTCAGGATCAAATTAAATGATACACTCAGTACATATGGAGAATCAACGCTCCCTCAAGTTGGGATACCTGGCAGTTTGTGTAAGATGGGCTTTTCCTCACTTCCATATATTGCATTTAATGTTCTTTGTTTTGTTACTGGTTGCTGGAAGATAAACATAGGCTTACTTTGCAAGTCTGAATCTGGAAGCACACGCCTCTGAGGAAACCCTATTACAAGGATCATGGGGAATATGCATTTCCTTTATTGTGTCATTTGACCTCAAGTTGATCATGAGGTTTCTTTTCCCCCATCTGTAATTACTGGTCACAACCCCACCCACATATTCAATTATAGGATCTTTCCAATTTTGGATTAGCTGGATTTCAGAGCCTGGCTTCAATATGTGACATCAACTAAAGGGAATTTAGTCCTAAGTAAATCTGATTGGATGCACTAGAGAATTAGGGAACTCTATGAGACAAAATATGAAAAGCCAAGACTTCGCAAGCAGTTAAGACAAGTCAACGTAAAACAGCAGCTTGCAAAATTGATGAGCCTTAATATACAAGCTGCAGAATAGAAGCAGTGTCAAGTAGAATACACAACTCACCTGCATAATAAGAAAATGTCCTCTTGTTTCTATCAAACACAAACCATCGTTTTTTCCATGTTTTAATCTTCCCACCCATCTTAATAAGAAAGCCTCTGCATGTCTTCTCAGTAAGCGAGACATGGTAACAGGTTTCAATGTTGTGACCAGCTGTCTCTATGTGACTCCTGAGATCAAAATCTTCTTTTCTTACTGGCAAATATCGAGTCAAGGGGCGAGACTAATTAGAAAAACACATACAAATTAATATTAGTGTGATTTCCCCCTTCTTCCAGTTAAACATAGGCATTCAAAATCTGAAACAAGTTATGATATTCTTCACCTCGTTTTTTTTATACAGTGGTGCCTTGATTGACGAGGATAATTTGTTTCGTTCAAATCGCTGTTAAGCGAAAATTGTCATCAAGCGAAATTAAAAAACCCATTGAAATGCATTGAAAACCGGTTCAATGCGTTCCAATGGGCGAAATACCTACTTGTTTTGCGAAGATCCTCCATAGGGCGGCCATTTTCCGGTGCCTGTAAAGTGAGAAATCCGTCCTAAAGCACAGTGGGGATCCATTTTGCACAGCGGGCGGCCATTTTAGAGCCGCCGATCAGCTGTTTTAGAAACGTCGTCTAGCGAAAAATCCATTCCTGAAGCAGGGAACCGATCATCGTTAAGCGATTTTCCCCCTTGGGAACATTGTTTTGCGATCGCACTAGTGATCACAAAAACTTCATCGTAAAGCAGTTTCGTCATTTAACGAGGTAATCGTTAAGTGAGGCACCACTGTACTGCTAAATGAGATTAATCAGAAAGTGTGCAAATGAGTCATGTCTTCCACATGCATTTTCAGCATTCACTTAGGGAATATTCAGTCAGTCAAGTTTTATTGAAGACGTCTATAGACCGTTTCATCAGTCATTCACCATATACAATAACATTATCGAATTTTATACACTTACAAAGGATTGGCTCTTACATGAAAAAAGAAAATTGGATCACATGTATCTCATATATAAACTAAATACTCAGAATTATATCAATCAGGTCCTCAATCTAAGATAAATTACTGTTAATCCCATAAAACCTTGATTTAAAATCCTTATAAATAGGGAATATGTTGAGGGGGGCAACTATATGTCCTGAAAATCTTCCACAGTCATGTGTGTGTTCTGTGCTATCAAGTCGGAATCAAGTTATCGTGATCCTAATGGGGTTTTCAAGGTAAGTGAGATATTTAAGGATTGTTTTTGCCAGTTCCACATACCCAGTCAGTTTCCATGGCTGAATGGGGATCCAAACTCTATTCTCCAGAGTCATAATCGATTGCTCTATCCACTACACTGCACTAGGACCACAAAGACTTTAAAAAACATTTTTAAGTTAAAAAAATGGGGGGGGGGAGAATTGAAAAAAAGAAGGAAATGTACCAAGTGGCAGATGCTGCCTATTAATGAAAAATCAATATATTAAAAATAGAGTATTCCCTCTATTTTGGGGGGGGGGCTAGGGTGCTATGTCACACGGATGCAGGTTTCTGCAAATCACCCCCAGTTGTTTACAGCTGAGGACACCATGAGAGGCGGTGGGGTAGGCAGAAATGAGGGCACCACATACTATCCATCCCATTTATATAGCAACTGAGAGCAAAACTAGATTATAAAGTTAGCACATAATTAAAAGCAAATAAGGGGCAAAAGATTTTTATCTGAATGGAGAATAGGATTGTGATTGTGATGGCGAGGCTGGCATATATGAAAGGGAAGCTTAGCCTTTCCCCAGTGCTAGGCCTCCGAAAGAATGAACAGTATGTGTGTTGTTTAAGAAGAAAAAAGAATGTATGGGATAGACTGTCATGTGTCTGAGGAAAAGCTGTGTGTTCATTAAGGGTGTTGTGTGCATGTGGCCAGAAGCCGCAGAAGAGATCACTGCAGGTCACCATCATCCTTTGCCCACCTTGCCAGAGAATGAGGATCAGCATGGAGCATAACTGCAACTGGGTTTCCTGCCCAACTTTCCTACTTCCCTATTCTGTTTACCTATTCAGGCATTAGATTTCTACACCATCCTTCTCCTAGAACTGGAACTCAGTGTTTATTCCGCTGATCAATACCTGCTTTCCTGCCTACAGATTACATACCTGGTTCCTTTGTTTTTCACGTATTTTAACTTCTTTTTCAATTAGTTTTTGACGCTGGCTGGTTTCTTCCTGCAACCTTTTCTCCAGCTGTTCCCTGCGACGCTTTTCTTCTTCTAGCGCTCTTTTCTTAGCTTCCATTTCTCTCTCCTGAAAGCCATACCATACGAAATAATGCAAATTTTACTCTGAAATGCAGATAACTCTCCAAAATGTTAGCTGGAACCCAACAGGAAAAAAATCAGCTGGCATGAAGCCATCAGTATACGTTTCAGCAGCAAAATAACAGAATATGAGAAGTCAGTGGAGGCCCTGGCTGTTTGGCACAGTCATGCGACTGATGTGGAGCATCAAATGACATATACAGGTTTTATTTTTAATATGGAATGTGCTGTGCAAACAGAATTGTTTAAATTATACATTATATATATATATGTAAATATATTTATTTGACTAGAGGTTGCACAATATGATAATTCAACTGTAAGAAATGCTTAAAATGTTGTCCCCTAGAAAAATGATGTCAAAATTTTCCCCCCATTTTGCTTCATTTAATATAGCCCTTGGACAAGGCTGCAAAGGCTAAGCTGAAATGTGTTGGGCTTTTAATTTGGAATAAAACGCACATCATAAGTTTACAGTGTACAGCTATTTGATGTCTCAGGTGCGTGTTTGGGCAAATGCTTCTGGGACCATGCTCTAATTCATTTTTGTTGTTATATGCCATCAAGTTGCCTCTCGCCTATGGTGACCCTATACATACCCAGGTATTTTCAATACCAGTCCTACTCAGGTCTGGCAAATGAAAGGTTGCGGCTTCCTTTACTAAGTTCATTTCATTTCATGTTTTCCTAGCATTACTATCTTTCCCAGGGAGTCTTCTCTTATGATTCGTCTAAAGTATGAAAGCCTCAGTTTTGTCATTTTACTTCGTTAATTCCCCTGAAAAGACTGGTGCCTCAAGCAACAGCTTGATTTTCTTATGCCTCAATATGAACCTCTGGAGAGGACACTTCTCGATACAGAGCACGTTACCATAGTCTCTCGAGACTGAAGGATGCCTATGAATGAATATGAACCTCGAATGCACAGAATCTTGGACATACTGCTTACTCATTCTCTTACTGATTTTGATTTCTTCAAAAAGATCACTGTAAACCTTTTACATTGCAAGGAGCTGAGGGGCAAACAAATAAATTTTATTTATTTATTTATTTATTCAATTTCTACCCCGCCCCTCTAGACAACGTCTACTCGGGGCGGCTTACAAAAATTAAAACACATTAAAACAATGTAGAAAAATAACTAACATAATGCAATTATTATAATTAATATTATCCATATTAATATGGATATCCATAATTAATATCCATATTAATATTAATATAATTAATATTAATATTATATTATTAATATAATAATATTAATAAAACATTCCTAACTAGTTCAATAAAAGAGAAATGACAATGTCAGAATCCTAGTCACAACACAACCTCAGTCTGTACTATATTAATTTGCTGTAACTATGCTTGGACAGTGTCATTGAAGCTGCCAGCATGGATTTGACCCAGCTCTGGGAGGCAGTGGAAGACAGGAGGGCCTGGCGTGCTGTGCTCCAGGGCGTCACGAATAGTCAGACACAACAACGAAACAACAACTACAATGCTTAGATTACCCTGGATTCGAGCAGCCGTGTCTTTTCAGCTTGAGCTTGTTTCAGAAGTCTTTCCATCTCTTCTATTCTTGCAACATTTGAAGTACTAGCACTGCAAGGAGAAAAAATATTTGAGAAAACAGTTGAATACTAGAGGTGTCATTCTAGTCTTTTCCATGAATAATATGAGATATAAAAATGATATAACATCCCAGTCCCATTAACAGATGTAGAGAATTTGAAATCTGTATAGTACAGGGACAGATAACATATTTATGCTCCAAAGCAAAAACCACAGAGAAAAATATAGCTTGTAGTCTTTCTTCTGCTCATTTCTGTATTATATTTACAATTTTGAAGCATTATACCCTGCTCTTCAAACTCAGAAGGCTTCTAAAGCAGCTTCCAGATTGTTTTAAGAGAACACAGAACAGGCGAATACAACCTAAATGAAACAACAAAAAGGAAAAGGGGTGGAAAAGTAGGAGGAAAAATGCACTCATGCACCATTTCTTGAAGTACGAATTTTTAATAAAGAAAGTTGGGAGAGAAACCAAGTGGCACTTGAGAAAGGAATGAATGCAGCCAGCATCTGAAAGGATGGAAAAGCCCTGATTTTCTTCTTACCCTGTTTCACAAATGACACTATATGTGCATACACACCGCTGTTCTGTATGTCCCCCAGCAATCTCCTGAATGTGACTTATGGCTCTCTTGAAAAATAAAACGTATTTCTGGTGTCATCTGAATAACTGTGTATTTTAAAAAGCAATTGGTGTATTTTATATTTAATGGGATGTGGTGGTGCTGCGGGTTAAACCACAGAAGCCTCTGTGCTGCAAGGTCAGAAGACCTGCAGTTGTAAGATCAAATCCATGCGACGGACTGAGCTCCCATCACTTGTCCCAGCTCCTGCCAACCTAGCAGTTTGAAAACATGTAAATGCAAGTAGATAAATAGGTACCACCACAGTGGGAAAGTAACGGCGTTTCGTGTCTAGTCACGCTGCTCAAATGACCACGGAAACTGTCTACGGACAAATGCTGGCTCTATGGGAATGAGCCCCGTGCCCTAGAGTCAGACACGACTGGACTAAATGTCAAGGGGAACCTTTACCTTTATTATATTTAAAGACAATATCCGTTACTGCAAAAAAAAAAATGTTCTATGTTACCTTGAAATATTATCAGGGGAGCAGGCAGATATACTGGTCTCCATGCTGTCTGAACTGTCTAAACTCAGAGTGTCAAAGGTATGGTCCTTGAAACTATGATCAGGATAATGGAAGGTATTCAGATATACATTAGATTCAGAAGCCGTTCTGTTGTAGAATTCAGGAGATTTCTGGCTTGGGTCTTCACATGTGTGTTGATGGTTATAACCTAGAATGACAGGCAGAAAACATAAGTTGATTCATCCAGTTTTTAAAATACTGTACTCTTATATGGAAAGCATTACAAAAACTTGCAATGTGATTTCATTCCAAGCTCTGTTCTGTGTCTGAAGCGATACAGCTTTTTATTAGCTATCTTTGTATTAGTGCAATCTCAAGACACTGATCAGTATCCTATTGCTAGTCTAACTAGAGCAGTTCCACTGATTCAAGAGCTTCACAACAGGGTTTTCATTTAGCAATCGGTTCAATGGGTCTTTTCTAGTTGGGACTAGGAACAGGGTACTGCAACTGATACAGCAGAACCTTACATACTTGGGATTAGTAGTCTGTTATGGGTCTTGAATAAAGAGTTGATTCAGATATAATGCTAAGCCAGTCCTAAGTCAAAATTTGTAACAAACTAATGTATTTTGTCCATTCCAACTGCTTGTACTCCCCTCTTGCCCCTAGAATAACTATAAGGAATAGTTTGGGATGTTTCATTTCTGATCCAAATCAGTCATAGTTTGTTAATGGGGAAAAATGGCAAACAATTACCTGCTGATAAAGAACAAAATCCCATTGCATACATATGACAGTATGAAGGACAACAGTCTAATTAACAGTGGCAAATTACTGCTAGTTAATAAGTTGCCACTTGTACTCCTCAGTGCATACTACTGGTTACATTTTCAAAGCATTTTATTAGATGACTTTGCAATCTAAACAATGTCATATGAAGCCATTAATGTGATGAAATGAAACCTTGAGACAAACACTTCTGTACAGAAGTACAGGAAGATTTTGTTAGAGGAATGGAAAATAATATGAAGAAGCATTTTGCAATGACAGATTAAAATTACCTTTATTACTTGCACTTTTGGAATGATTAATAGTTCCTTTTAAAGTAAGTATGGTGTGAAAAAGAAAGAGAAAAAGAGAGAAATTACCATCTGCCATTTTGCAGATTTGGGTTAAAATATAGTTTTTACATGCCAATAGCTATCAGTCAGCTCCCTCCTTACATGCCAGGAAAAAGAAAGGTTACTTACCTGTAACCATGGTTCTTCGAGTGGACCTCTGTGAATTCACACTACCCACCCATCCTCCCCTCTGTCGTCACGGGTATCGTATTGTTGTATAACTCTCGTGCCCGGCGGACAAATTGCAGGAACTGAGGGGAATCTTGGGTGGGAGGAGCTTGTGCCTCATGGGGGATCACACCATAAAATTGTTACTTTTAGCTCTGGAATGCTCCGAGAATGTCAGCGCAGGCGCAGACGAAACCCATATGTGTGTATTCACAGAGGCCACAAAGAAGAAAGAAAGGTTACTTACCTGTAACCATGGTTCTTCGAGTGGACCTCTGTGAATTCACACTACCCACCCATCCTCCCCTCTGTCGTCACGGGTATCGTATTGTTGTATAACTCTCGTGCCCGGCGGACAAATTGCAGGAACTGAGGGGAATCTTGGGTGGGAGGAGCTTGTGCCTCATGGGGGATCACACCATAAAATTGTTACTTTTAGCTCTGGAATGCTCCGAGAATGTCAGCGCAGGCGCAGACGAAACCCATATGTGTGTATTCACAGAGGCCACAAAGAAGAAAGAAAGGTTACTTACCTGTAACCATGGTTCTTCGAGTGGACCTCTGTGAATTCACACTACCCACCCATCCTCCCCTCTGTCGTCACGGGTATCGTATTGTTGTATAACTCTCGTGCCCGGCGGACAAATTGCAGGAACTGAGGGGAATCTTGGGTGGGAGGAGCTTGTGCCTCATGGGGGATCACACCATAAAATTGTTACTTTTAGCTCTGGAATGCTCCGAGAATGTCAGCGCAGGCGCAGACGAAACCCATATGTGTGTATTCACAGAGGCCACGAAGAAGAACTTAAAATTAATCTACCATTTAACAATCTGTAAGAAAAAAACTAAAGTGCATATAAATGTTATCACAGCCATGCTAGCTGGGGGATTCTGGGAACTGGAATTTGTCTGGTGTGAATCTCAGACCTTCACTCTCAAAGCAAAACTGAAGGAGGTAGAGCTTTTTTTTTCTTTTTGCAGTGAGAAATCTTGGGTACTTATTATTTGCCTGAGCCTACTTTATGTCAATAAAGCCTTGCCTGAATCTATCAGCAAACAGGCAACTGCAGGAATACAACACTTTTTAAGTTTATAATGTCCTGTTTGTCTTTTCCTTGTTTTCTCTCAAGGATTGTAATTGTTCAACTATCAAACAATATTTTTCTACATTGATGATTTATTCGTATAACTAACACTAGTTACAACTGAAGTTGATTTCAATCATAAGTTTTATAAATAAGCCATATTTAATGAAGACTTGTTACTAGAACATAATATGTTACATATTATAGAAATAACTGATACAATAGTAATACCTTTCCACAGTGCTTGCAGAAAGAACAGCTGTTCAACCAGCCATATGGAGGAAGAAATCTGTAAGGTGTTGTAGGTTTTTTGGGCTGTTTGGCTGTGTTCTGGAGGTTGTTCTACCTAACATTTTGCCAGTCTCTGTGGCTGGTATCTTCAGACGACCGGAGCCAGAATTCCATCTGTGATCCCACATACTACACCAGAACACAGACAGAGTTCTAGCTCCTGTCCTCTAAAGATGGCGGCCACAGAGACTGGCAAAACATTAGGAAGAAAAACCTCCAGAACAAAGCCAAACAGCCCGAAGAACCTGCAACAACCATTGAATTCCAGCTATGAAAGCCTTTGAGAATACAAATCTGTAAGGTCTAAGGTATTAATCTAATTTACATTATATTACAATGAGTTCCCTAAGAGTCTTGGGTGAGAAACCTTCCTTCTTTTGGATCTCTCTACCTCCTTCCATATAGCAATTAGTGTCTTGGTATGCCATTCCCACTGCCCTCTTCACATTATTTCAATGCATTTTTTTTTTCAAAAACTGACATGCTTTGAGGGGGGAAGATGTGTGATTCTGGGATGAATCTCACAATTGGAAAGCGAAAGGAAAACCCTTGCCATGTGCAGTGAAATCCATCCCAATCCATTCTCCACAGCCTCTAAGAACCCTCTTGTGGCATAAATTGAAGGATTCTTTAAGTCTAAATGCCAGATGGAGATTAGGGCTGAGGTGAAGAGGTAGCTGGGAAGAGGGGGAAGACGGCAAAGTAGAAGGAAAGTAAGAAGAGGAAAGAGAAAGAAGAAGGGAGCAAAAGAGAAAAATGGGGAAGATGGAATTGGATAGACAAATGGAGTTGAATGCCTAAGCATATGAGAGTGAAATGGGGTTTCTTTTTCATCATACACATAGAAGCACATATGGACAATTTTAAAATCCTCTTACCTTTGTGGGCCCTCCTTGATTCAGACTCTTTGGTCGTCATTCCCAAGCAATGAGGAAGGACACTGCCACAGCTATTGCTCTGTCCAAGAGGCACATGGCCCTGCATAAAATGTTGCAGTTTTAGTCAAGTTTTAAAAACTACATCGGCATGTAGGGAAGTCAATTTCTTCATATAAATTTCACGAGTGATCTTTGTTTTCAATCCCATACAGTTCTTTGTACATGTTCAAATGGAACTGATGCACCTCCGTTTACTGCGTTTACAAACCGTCTCTGCATTTGGAACTTAAGAAAAAGCTCAAATTCAATGTGGGGGAATGTCTGCTTTTGAAACTGCAGGGAAGACGAGAAAATAGAAGCACAGGCCATCTCTTCCAGCCTCCCTGCATTTAGGAATGCCTGGAGCTGCTTAAAGAATCCAAGAACCATATATTCCGTGGCACTGCATAAGAAATATTACTGGTCATCTAAATGAGTCAAAATGTTGTATGTTCATTTTTTAAAAAACATAAGAGATACATTTGATCAGAATTGATTGCTTCATACAAGCAAGACTGTAATTTCTAAAGTGAAAGCATGTGCTGGGGCTGACTGTGGTTATTCAGTAGTGTGTTTCATTTTGGAATAGGGATAACAGTAAGTTAAAAAATGTAACAAAAAGGTACCCTACACATGCTCAGAGATAGTCACTTCATTATTAGTTAATATCAGAAAATACAGGGGTGAGACAGGAAGCCAGGGTGGCATATAACGAGCGCCCCGTTTAATGACAAATCTGCATAGCGATGCAGATTTTGCAATTGCAAAAGCAATCGCATTGCGATGTTTCCTATTTCCCCCCAGCTGACCCCATTTCCCCCCAGCTGACCGGCAGGCGCTTTGGAGCGACCGAAGTGGAGGCTTACCGGGCGGTCGCTCCAAAGCCAGCGCCGCCCAACTGGGGGGGAGAGGGCTTCAGAGCGATCACGGTGGAGGCTTACCGGGCGGTCGCTCCGAAGCCAGCGCCGCCCAGCTGGTTCAGAGTGCCTGCGGGGGAGGTTTTCCGCCACGGTCCCTCCGAAGCCTGCGCCGCCCACTGGGGGGAGAAGGCTTCGGAGCGACCGCGGTGGAGGCTTACCTGGCGGTCGCTCCAAAGCCAGCACTGTGCAGCTGGGGGAAAATGGCCGCCCGCAGCGTTTTCACACCTCACTTACCGAGGCGGCGAAAATGGCAGCCGGATGGGGGATTCTTCGCTTACCGGTGAGTTTTTCCCCAATAGGAACACATTAAATGGGTTCCCCCCCCCCCCACATAGCGAAGAATCCGGATAGTGACGTTAATCCTGGAACGGATTAACGTCACTATGCGGGGCACCACTGTACTCAGTATGGAGCTGGAGCTCAGGAAGAATTACCAAAGCATAAACATACCAAGGACTGCTCTACAAATTCAGTGCAGTGCACTGCATGCATTACAGATAAAAGTTTCAGAATGCATTCATTTAACTTTCATTGTCAGCTGAATGAGAGGACAGTAATGTGTTTGTGTTGGGGGAAGTATAGTAACTTTAAAAAAAAATTATTGGCTGATTAGGGTGTTCATATGAAATGGGGAACATGGTTTCCTATGAAATTCAAGACAGGCTCCTTCTACCTTGATTAGTTGCATGGAGGAGGATATTTCACTAGATGGAGCTCATGTGATAAGCTACAACTGCTGAAATTTCTGCTTCTAGGAAACTATGAAGCTACTGGAACCTGTCCTTCGTTTCATGTGGACACTCTACTAGCTTGATTCTGATTATGGTAATCATGTTGGGCAGACCAACTCCAAGTAGATTTGGGATAAAGAGTGAACAGGTGAGCCAGCTCTAGCCATTTGGAGCCACTTCCAAAAAAGCCGTATTAGGGCTGGCCGTGTAGACCAGCAAAATTAGTATTTAAAAATATATTTTTCGTTTTTGTCTGTTTTACCTTCCCAATGGTGGGCTCTGCGGTGAAGCTCCTCACAGTGCAGAGCCCCTTTGCCTTCCCCACCTGGAATATCGCCAGACGTGAAAGCTACATCCTGACAATCCAGGAAAGGAAAGAGAAGGAGCGCTGACTTAATGGGCGCTCCTCCCCCAATCGGCCTCTTTCGAGGCTTTGCAACCCACCTGCCCACCCTCAGAGATAGTGTGAGCTTTGCTGGTCTCTTTTGGGGCCAGATAGGAATTTTTGACCCACCTGTTGATTGGCTCTTGTGAGCAGGGAATTTTTTTTTGCCTATTCCACAGTGTCAAAAAAGGGCAGGGTCATTTTTACTGGGTGTGGTCATGCCAGGTCACGTGGGTGGGTAGTGTGGAATGAAGATGGATCAGTGACAGTGCAATTATGGGCTCACTCTGCCCAATGTCTAACAGATTCAAAGGGAGCCTGGCTTCCTCTGACAAACTATGGCCTAGACCCAACTGCTTGTCCCAAACTAGAGATCCACGGAATCAACTGCAAAATGGTTAAATCAGCCCTTTTATAAAACCCATTCACTGAACAGGTCTAGAATAGCTAGGACTAAAACAGGCTTTAGGCCTGCTGCCTTACATGAAGTATATACTGTGTCATCTTATAATCACATTACTTACCTTAACACTTCGCCCAAGAGTAGAACTATTGAAATGGGGTGAAATGGAGGGTGCCGTTTTCTTGCGTGGCAAAGTATCACTCATATAAGGGCCTTCTTTGTGATGTTTCTTCCTCTCTTCCAGATTTCGGAAATGCTTAAAATACATAAAATAAAAACAATTCCACAATGATTATACTGAAGATTATAAACACCATAATGGCTTAAAAATAAATGTCTGTATATCCCTCTCGAAAATTTGAGTACTATTTTAAAACTTAGACAAAACTGGGCAAGGAAAACTCTTTATCTCTATAGACTGAAATCTACAACTTTTAGATACAGTGGTGCCTCGCTTAACGATTTTAATTGGTTCAAAAAAATCATCGCTATGGGAAAATATCGCTAAACGAAATGCAGTTTCCCATTGAAATGCATTGAAAACCGGATAATCCGTTCCAATGGGAACAGACTGCCGTCCTTAAGCAAAAATTGCCATAGGAAACATCGCTAAGCAAAACATGGTTCCCCAATTGAAATGCATTGAAACCTATTCAATGCATCTGAATGGAGGGAAAAATTACAACAAATTTAAAAAGAGTCGGAACAAAGTCAAATTAGTTTAACAAAGGGTTTATTAAGTGCACTTATGATTTCAAGCATTCTAAACATTTTTAAACATTTTTAAACATATAAAAACAGCCAACATGAGGCTGTCAAAACCATCGTTAAGTGAAACAGGGGGACCCAAACTGTCATCGCTATGCGAAGCATGGTCCCAAACATCGCTATGTGAAAATCGCCCATAGGGAACATTGTTAAACGGAGCGCAAGATCGCTGCAAAAAAGTCATCGCTAAGCGAATTCGTCATTAAACGAAGCACTCGTTAAGTGAGGCACCACTGTATCTTACTGTGTATAGAATTTATAGCATGGGGAAGGGCAAAAGGCTATTTCACTCTTTTATCAAAATTATGTTGATTTATGCAAGTAACATAGACATGAAAATTAGCAGGATAATGCCCCAAACACATACCAATCAAATTGGTGTGATTTGAACAGCATATATATTTTGTGATAATATTCATTATGAATTTGCAGTCCCAATTTATGATGGCAAAATATAACCAGAAATACATGACATGTCCATTATTTTTTTAATTCAAAAAATAAAGCAACTGAAAAGGATTTTGGATTTGAAAAAGTGCTACAGTACACTAACGCTGGCTGAAATCCTGTTCAATAACTTACACCACACAAAGCCATGGTGATTTTTTGAATTAAAGAATTTCCTATTCTCAAGGCTCCTGTGTGATCCTTTTCATTGGGGGGCCATTGGAGACCTTGGGATATGGAGGGGGTTAATTTCCAAATTGCTGCTGCTGGTAAAATCATCTTAATGGCAATTTTCAGAAATTAAAACTCCCTCACACTCTGCAGCCCCCAACAGCTCCCCCATGATGAAAGAGATCCCTCAGGAACTTGAGATGTGTGTGCGGTTTTTTTCAAGTTGCAAAATATTTTCCAGTGGAGGAAATGGGAATTTCTGCTCCCCCCCCCCTGAAATCTTAGCCTAATTTCCAGCAACAGGATTTTAGTTGATAAGTGGAGAAAATAATTGTTTGGACAAAGAACAAAATTATTTGTTTGAAAGTATTGCAGTGGTATTCTGATGTTATTTACTTCAACTATGTTTCTTTCACTTCATCAGTGTATATCTATAGAAACAAAGACTTTGTGAACCCAAAATGTTTCCTTAAACTGAGTTTAATTTGAGTGTGAAATTAGTTCATGTAGATCTAGATACTAAATACAGTCTCTAAATATAAGAATGCACTCAAAGATACACCTCCGTTGTCTCTGCTAATGAAGAAATAATCTGGGCAAAATCCAATTGTCACTCTTAACTACAGCAGCCCCAGTGGATCAATGAATCAACAGCCAGAAACCTGTTGCACAAATTATGCCACAGAACTCAATGATGTCATCATTTTGGGGAAATTAAAATGTTACCATCCTCTCCCTACTAGGTTTGGGGATCCATAGAGATCCTCTTCATCCTAAGAAGCCTTCAGGAGCCACAGAACAAGGCAAGGAGCAATTTAAACCTAACCACTGCCGGTCCTAATGCTTAGGAACCTGAATTGGTCCCATGGGCTAGAGCTTCATTACCGTGGTTTAAAACATTTCAGAATTAATTGTATTTATGGAGCTGATTGTATTAACACAAAATATCCAAAGGCAAAAGTTATGTTGAACGATCAGAATGCCTTTTAAATCTTATACAAGTGATAGCTCTAAACAATTACACCGATGATTATACATCGTTTTTAGCTACCACTGTCCACATAATAAGGAAGGTTGCAGATGTGTGCGATTTTATTATAAACCAAGCTATGGAAGTTTTACCAAAAAAATGTAAGATGAACACAGTGATTCAACTAGGGACAATAGATACAAGGGGCAGATTGCTAATTGTATATATTACTCTCCAGGATGCATGTTGTACATGCAAGTAAATAGTAGCTTCAGCAGCCAAAAGGAAAAGGGGATGTGGTACCGGATTGAGAGACACAGACCTTTGGAAATGTGACTTTTTGGGCTGCAAATCCCAAGATTTTGGAAGATACAGTCCAGGAAAGTAATTTCTTCAAGCTCTGCCTCTTCCACACCAAACAGCTGCTTACTGTGCATTAATCCACCTTAAACTGTGGTTACTCTGCATGCATTTCATCAAACTGGGGGGGAGAAAATTCCATGCCAAAGCAACCTTATTCTTATCAAGGCTATCTGCTTTCAGGCCTTTTACCTGGGATTGCCTTCGGTGCTTCTTAGCTGGAAGAGGAGGTGGTGTGTCAGGTAAAGGAAAAGACTCTACATTTGCAGCCCTGGCCTCAGGCCAGTGGGCTGGTGAAAGTGGAGCAAGAGGGCGAGGAGAGAGGGAGTGAGGAAACACAAATCCAGAACAGAGAGATGATCTTAGCTTTATAGGAAAGAGAGAAATCAAATTCAGAATTTTTTTTAAAAATGCCTTTTTAAAACATATAAGCTGCAAGCACAAAAAAGAATAACAGGCTTACGGTGACACAAGCTTTTGTAGACTAGAGACTATGATGTGCATGTAATGTTGTTAAGAGCTGACAAACGAGGTGTGTGTGTGGGGGAAGAAGACTGACTGCAGTTTTCCCACTTTTTTGAGAAGTTCAGATAATAGACTTATGCCATTGGAATGGTAAAAACAGGTCTCTGGTCACCCAAAGTTACAAAAATAAAATAAATGTATGAAATGTATTTCAACTGAACTGTTTAGGCTAAAATTAAGGGTCTTAACTCCTGGTATTCATAATTAAACACTAAACCTTGCTTAAGCACAGGACGAAACCCTGGGCCCACACATACATCATCCCCATCATGGCCTTCCTACTTCTCTTCTTGCAAACCCAGAGGAAGCACAAATTAGAATTCAGTTCCCCTTTGTCCAGATTTTCATTACTTGAGAACCGGGAAGAATGGGTTAAACTGCTAACAATCCATCCTTAAACCATGGATTATGAAGTTGGCTTCCTTAACAAGCTAGTCACCATTTTAAATCCATACCTCCTTTCCTACATAATAGGCAAGCCATAAAGAACCTATATATTTTTAATAATTCCCTTTTATTTTATTTTAAAGGGAATTCTGCTTTAGTACCCTCTTTTGGAATCCTGGTCAGGTGGGGAGAGCTTGTGAGTCTGGCGTTTTGCACAGGGTATTTTCTGCTTTGGAACGTAGCACTAAACCACGGTTTTGCACTCTACGTACAAATATATTTACTATTTCTAGAAGCAGAAGATTTATTTCTGTGCATATGATTACTTTTTTTCATAGAGAAGAGAGATAATTTCTGCTCTCTTCCAAGTAAGGGAGAACAAAGGAAGCAGGAGAAAACATCCAAATAAAATGACAGGGAAAAAATCTACTCCAAAGTAAATGCTGAGAAACCTTTCAGAGATGTACTTAAATCTGTATTGTTAAGCTCAATCAACAAACATAATAGTAAATATTCATAGTACAAGCACAGAGTTTGGCAGTGTACCCTAACTATAGTTTATCATGCTAAGAAATTCCAGAGTGCTTGTACACTGGTATAACCAAATTTCTTTGATTCAAATTTTTGCACAGATACTGGTTATTGTACTTCTGTGCCAAAGTAACTAAGTTTGCCACACCCCAGGCAGCAAAATATACTACAAGAAAATATTCGGTTTATTTTCCATTTCCTTGACCTTGCTCTTGTTCCCTAGAAAGAGGAAATAAGGGTGGCCACTCCACAGCTCCTACTTCACTCTAATGAGGGGGGAGAAAGAGGTGTAAATGTTTCCCAGATTTATTCCTGTGATTTCTCCCTTAGGTAGACCTTTGGTATTTACAATTAATCTAGGTCTACCCTTCAACTTTTTACTTCTGAAAAAAGAGAGGAGCAAATGCAGTTTTACAATTAACCTGCAAACATCATGACAGCAAAACGCTGGAAGCAAAATGTATACACAAATGGCAAATGTCTCTCAAACAAACCTCTTTATTTTGCGGCTGGCTCATCGGGCCAGCTGTGGAAGGTTCAGTGGGAACAGCATCAGCAGCAGTGGGGGGTGGAGTGGAAGGGGATATAGTCGTGGAATTGCCATACAGCTCACTAATGTCATTTACACTCATATAACCCTAAAAGGAGGAATTCAGAAGTTATATATATAAAAAAAGAAGCAGAAGCCAAAAGGCATGCAAGAGTATTAAGGTTTTCATTTTGCTGTGCCAGTTAGTTTACAGGTGATACAGCTGATTCTCTGTGGTATTAAAAGACACATTCTTTTATGATACCTGCAAATCATGAAAATCATATGCAATAAACTTCTGGATGTTTTTATTTATTGCAATGAAAATGGTCATCCAAAGATCTTCCAAGGTAATTGTTCTAACCAGCAACTTCCGTTTTGAGATATGTCTTTTTTGAGATATGTCCGTCTGCATAGTTTCCCACAGTCAGCTCTTGATTGGACATGGAAGCCCCACCCTAGAATTTCAGGGTCAAGTGACCCCTCTTCTGTTCAGACTATACACTGCCACTGTTTTAAGTTTAAACAGATAGGAAAGGGATTGAACCATCGTGGCAAAAATCTCCAAAAAGGTGATAAAGAGGCATTTCACATGTATTTGCTTAAATACTGGGCTATCTCTGCATCACTGCATTTCAATGAGCTGCTATATTGCAACTGGATGCAGGAACTATTATTTTGCCCTTGCCAACTCTCTCTTATCCACATGGGCCTAACCTTATTTTTTGGCAGAAATTCCTGTAGGGATGTAACCACAATCTAGTTATTTTGCAGTATATCCAGGATTTCATGTTAATTTTATTGAGACTCTCAGAGCAGCTGCAATGTTCAGTTGAAGCAGATACAACTTTAGGCTTCATTAGCAGCAAAAGCAGCAGCAGCAGCCATAGTAGTAGAAGAATTTTAGGCAAAAGCAAGCACCAGAAAAATACCCTGGGAAATTCTGAATACAACTCCTGAAACACAACCATGATTCTAGCAAAATTGTCAGAAATGTTTTCCTAGCCTAGACCCTCACTGCTTCATTTGTATACTATGAAACATTCAGTTTAGGCAAGATGGAAAAATGTGGACATTTCATTTTGCTTCTGAAGAAATGAAATCTCATTTGGAAAGCATTCGAATACACACTTAAAACATGATTTGGCTTTCATTATTATCAATATTATTTTGCATGGGCAGTGACCTACATTATGTGTACATGTTTTGTAATTTTTCACTACATTGGAATCCTGTTCCACCACGAAGTAGACAGAAAATGTTTTTTATGAGTTGCACAGTGCAATTCATACAAAACAAAAAGTGCTTTGTGGTCCTTGTGTACCACACATTACATATTCTGGAACACTGAAAAAGGTGCAAAGCTTTGAGGCAGGAGGTTCCACCCCATCCTCGGTGTTGTATTTCTGGAACAATGTGAACAATGTACCGTGCAAGGACAGAACTTATGACAGTTAACAGGTACAAGCTCATGGTCTAAGCAGAACAGGTACCCCTGCCAAGCCGTGGGCTGCTCATAATTGAATGAACAGATGACTGATGAAAGAATTTTAGTAAATATCTGTTTGGCTGCTCCCACACCATGTAAAAGTGAAAGATACAGCTACTGTCAAATTCTATCAAATTCCTGCTCAGGAATTTGCTCATTTTTAAAACATTTAGAATTAAAATTCCACTGTGAAAGGTAACTCCTTTACATACACAGGCAACTGTGATCATATGTCATTTCATAGCAAGTGTCACAAATTATGCTGCAACGGATAACCATTTAATATGAACAGATAACCATTTAATATGTCAACAACTTTTTATTTTCCTCCTCCCAAGTTTCACATTTACCTCTTTTAAACTGCTGGGACTTACAGGAAATCCTTTTCCTCCTGATAAAGAAGCATATTTCTTTTCTAGATTGCAAAGGTTCTCTTTCTCCTGTTTTTAAAAAAATCTGAATTATAGTTCAGAAACAAATTTTGACAGCTACTTATACAAAGATAGTCATAAAGATTGTAAACAGCCTAAAATCTTCATAAATAACACAATTAAAGAAGGAACAAATGAAATCTAAAGTTGCTTCAGTTGAGAACTGTTCACAAGCAACTTGCACAGCATCTCTCCCTTTCTCTTTCTTCTTTCCTTCCTACCTGCTGACCCTGCATTACAAGAACACATCATGAGGGACTCTTATTTTCTGTTTGCCAGGGAACTTCTCAAACAGATCTGCCACAATTTAGCACAGTAAATAGTATGCACAATAACAGTATTGGTGGAATTGGTAAGATCGAAGACATAAATTCCTGAATTCTAGACAGCTATACATTTATTATATTGCTATCATTTTAAAATAATGTTTTCAGGAAAAGTAGTGTTTCAGGAAAAAACGTACTTACCCTCTGCAACATCATTAGCAAGTTATTTTTCTCTTTGACGAAATGATCTTGCTCTCTTTGTGCTTGCTGGACAATGTGACTGGCTTGCTTTTTTAGAGCAGATATTTTTTCCTATTATAAAGGTAACACAAATTCATATTCAGTATAAGCTTGGGAATTTAGGGGCTGCCCTACCAGACTTACATCACCCATTAAATACAGCCCTGAAGATTCTTGCTCCTAGTCCGTGATTTAAGGGTCCTCAAATCTGGAATTCTTCACTGAATAATGTCCTAAAGGTTGTATCTCTAGGGCTTAAGTGGAATGTCCCCAGAAACTGCAAAATGAAATAATTTTCCAGTATCCTATTTTCCAATATGAAATCATTAGCTACATAAAAGAAAAGTCAAATTGAGTCTGTAATCCTAGGCATGGAAATAAGACATGCTATAATTGGAGGACCTCACTTCTCTGCAAATGTGTTTGGAATTGCTCTGTGAACAGTTTAACAACACCCCTTTGTTAAACAGTACTGTAACATGGACTACAGTTACCTCTCCCTTCCTGAACAATATCTTAAATCCTTATTCTACTGATCCAGAATGTCAGCAAGTAGAACGAAAGCATGAAAAACCAATGATCTGAGCCAGATTTTTACAAGTTACCTTCCTACTGACAATACTGCGCTGGTATTCAGCCACTTCACGCAGAAGCTGTTGTGTTAAGTTCTCTTTCTCTTCATCTAGCCGGCTCTCTTTTTCCAGCTGCTGGAACTCCAGATCTTCAAAGTGTTTGCTTTCTACCTCCAACAGGTGTTGTGTTAAGTTCTCTTTCTCTTCATCTAGCCGGCTCTCTTTTTCCAGCTGCTGGAACTCCAGAAAATTGAAGTGTTTGCTTTCTACCTCCAACAGGTCTGCATCCTTCAGTGACCAGTAAAAAAAATATGAACTGAAAAGCTCATACTGTTTATATTTAATGAAAACAGACATACAGCTCAATCCAAAACAAAAACTCCCAGTGGGTTCAATGAGACAGCCTAGGAATCACAAGTAAAATCAACTATAATTTCTAAAAGCAGCTGCTGACTTGAGAATTAAATTCTTATGTTCCTCCTCAAACTAAACAGTGATATTTGTCTCCTTGTCCTGCTTGTTCATCTCTTTTTCACATTCTACTATGATCAAGAAATGAGTATATCTACACAGGTGGAAGAGTAATTTAGAATCTAAACAACAGACAGAAGGCTGGCTCACCAGCAATGACCTCACCCAGGCTGCTCATCTGAAGCCTCTTTCCACTAAAGACAGAAGGACTGCAAGTTGGGTGAAAGGCAGAAGGGAGAAATGTCAGTGAAATGCCATCTTCCACTGTAACCTCCAAGGGCTGCTTTTCATTGGAAAGTCAGATGACATTTATACAGAAGTAAATATCTCTATAAAGTAGACTTTGGCACCTAAACAAAATACTGCCAACTGGAAACTTCAGTAGAGGCTGTTTAAAATATTGATCTCTTCCTTCAATTCCATTAAGGAAGTTCCATCTTTAAAAGGAGTCGCAGATCCAAATGGAAAACTAGGGGAAAAAATCTTGGTTCAACCCAGGGATGTGCATCAAAGCCAAATGTTTCATAACTATGCCCCAGATCCTAAATTAATAGGTGAGCATTTTCATGAGCCATCATTGCAACAGAGTTATAAAGTGAGTTCAAGTCTCATTCACTGGCACTAGAAGGGCTCTGTTGATAAGCTTTTTGAATTTATGAAGCTGTGTATCCCTGTAACTTATCTGTATGTCGCAAATATTTTAAGATTTCTATTTACAACAATTCGTTCTGAATGAAAACACAAAAGCAATGCTTCACAAACAGAAATTGTCCTTGTTGCATTTTATTCCAGCTTATCCTCACTGTCCCAAAACTAACCTTTAGACATGTTCCATATATCCATGTTTTTATTTCTCAATTCCACATTCAGTGCCCTAACAACAGTACAAGACAAAAATGAAGAACCTACTGAAATGTGTAGGTGCAACTGTACAACTATATACCAATTAGTAATTATGAAGTAGCACCAGAAACTGGAATCATGGGGAAGAAAGGGGAAATCTTGAAGCAGATCATGAAGTATCCAGAGTTCTGAAAAATCAGCAACAAATTCCATCTTGCAAATCAAAAGATGCAACATTTGTGCATATTCATACGAAAAATCACTACCAGTGTCCAAGGAGAAGAAAATCACAAGTCTTCGGACCAAGTTAATAATCAGAGGGGTTTGCTTTTCTCAGGAAGATACAAATATTTGAAAAATCCAAACCAGAAGCAAAGTTGTCCATTCAAGAAATGCCATGTTAACCATGGACAATTTGATTCCTACTTAGGCATTCAATGTGTATCCCTGTAATAACCAGAGCACAGAGTTCTGACTCCTGTCCTCTGAAGATGGTAGCCACAGAGACTGGCGAAACGTTAGGAAGAACAACCTTCAGAACACAGCCAAAGAGCCTGAAAAACCCACAACAACCATCAGATCCCAGTTGTGAAAGCCTTTGAGAATACAGTTTATCTGTATTCACTTTGCTGCATTCTGGCTCTTACATATGGACAACTAAATCATGAAACAGTCATCTCTATGTGTGGAATATCTTCGCATGATCAGGAACCCTTACTTTTCCGGTTTTCTGATCACACGGAAAGCCCCTGCACGTAAAAAATGTTCTCTTCAGCTTCGCATGATCAGGAACCCTTACTTTTCCCGTTTTCTGATCACACGGAAAGCCCCTACACTAATTTAACTCTCCACACACAAGAGCTAAGATGGAGGAAGGTATGGCTAGCCTGCTGCTTCTGTCTGTGGATTAAGTTTAACTCTTCTGCTGAACATTTGAATAGGGACAAACTGAGATGTATTCATACAAAAATTGACAGACAACGTAAAAGGGAATATTTGTATACTTATTGATACTGTGGTAAGTGCAATCAGCAATGACTCTGTCTTAAGAGAAAATACTTCTACACAAGTCAATGGGACACCTAATTGTTGTCTATCCTCCCTAACCTGCTTATGCTCTCCTCCTTCTCACATTACCCCTTAAAGGTGATCCTGCAGGTCAAGGATCCTCCAGAACAGAACAGTTGTGCATGTACTTTAAAATGTTACACCCTATATTATATTTCAGAACAAGAACACTCCCAAGGCAGTTTATAACAATTTTATTTTTAAAAGATTAATAAGAATGGGATATGGTGTAGATGGTTGGAGGGGGTGGATTGGTGAAAGAAAGAAGTGTCCTGACTAGAGATGGACTCACCATTTTGGTGAGTCGACCTGCTTCGTGATTCATCAAAGTTGACGAAGCACAAAGCTCCCCTCAATGAACTGATGAAGCACAAATTTATTCATCATTTTGTGGGGGGCTATTTTAAGAAAAAACTGACCCCCTGCCACCCGCACTGCCATCTCCAGTGGCCTCCACAGCCACGGCCTGTAGAAAGGGACACTGGCTGCCCTTTGCAAAGATGGTGGCTGCGGCTTCATTTAGGGTAGGGAAGCTGCAGCTGCCATTTTGGCGAGTGGGTGGCTGTGGGGGTGGGTGGCTGTGGGGGTGGGTGACTGTCTATTGGCCTGCCAATCAGCTGATTGGCGGGCCTGTAGGCATAATGGGAAAGCCATAGGACAAATAAAAATGGGAAAATATTTGTCCCTTTGTATTTGTCGCGGTCTCCAGAACCCACAAATATGAAGAGACAAATATTTAATGAATCAGAGAATTCTGATGAATATTGCAATCCGTTTTTATTCATCCCTATGTCTAGTCCTGACCCATCCAAGAAGAACTGCTATCCAAAACCACTACTGGATACAATCCTGTATTTCTTCTTCTATTTTAAAAATGATACAATCCTGTATTTCTTCTTCTATTTTTTTTTAAAAATAAGATCCCAAAGGCTGTAAAAATAAGCTAAAAAGGGGTGTGATTAAAGTATTCTAATATTTACAGACTATACTTTTAAAAAGAATTTTTAAAATTCCAATCCATACTATGTTAGCAGCCATATACGTATAGTGCTACTATACAGATAATACAAAAAATAACTTAAAATCAACCATAAATGTAATGGGAGACAAGTATAAAATGGCTGACTGCAAATATGAAAATGTATCTCAATTATAGCAAGATGCCATAACACCCAGCTAAATATCAGTTACACACACACAGACACACATATACATATACCCACTTCTTATTAGCCAATGCCCAAAAAGTGCTAAGTAACTAACCAGTTGACAACATTTAAAGTATGTAGTACAAAGCAACACTTAATCCAGTTCTCTTCACTCTGCTTACTCGACACCACACAATATTCTTATTAATGATGCAGCAAATCACTCCTAAACTTTTGAAACGACAGGCGGTTGGTAAATAAACTTTGGACACTTGTGCTTGATCACGTTGCAATTAACTAAAACAAACATAGAAGCCGTGCTACTGACCCTGTTTAGCTGCTGTTGTAATTGTTCCCTCATGGACTCGGGGCAATTATCAAGCTGGGTCTTCTGCTCGGAGTAAAGCTCCTGAAGCTTTTCTAGTTTTTCCCTCTCAGCATCAAGCTTTAATTTTTCCTGGAGTTTCAACCAGAAAAATAAAGAACAGAATTACCTTCAAACCCAAGCAGTGGTTAGTGATTATAATGGTACACTAAGTGGAATGGAGTTGTGTGGCACAGATGGGATGATATCTATCTGATTAAGACGAAAGATCACAGCATGAATGTCCCACATGGTGGCGAGCTTGCAGTTATGTGACTCATTCTGTCATAAGTAACCACAGTAATCTACATTCAAATTTAATTAACCTCATGGATACCCAATGATGGTTAGATTGCATGTATATGTGCCAAACGTTTTGTTGTGTGTGAAGAATGTAGATTGTGTTCTTATGAAGCTGACTTTCTAAAGAGAAGATTCTGATGACTTCCCAGCCCCATGGTAAGGGGCAGAAGGGTGATTATGCAACCATGATTGAAGGTTATTGAATGACGAAAGGTTATAATCATTAGGGGTAAAAGTGGCAGCAGCAAGCATGCAATACGTGGTCATCATCAGAATCTGTTTTTGGATCACAGCCGATGAAAGTTAGTTAAATACATGTCCCCTCAGCTCCAAATATTTCAAAATTATTTCAACCACTATATAAATTGAATAGTTAAAATGTAACCCAATCCAACCAAGATGGGGATTGTGCCACCAATCAGAACAGAGCAATTCTTAGATCCTTACTTTTTTTTAAAGCAAAGCAAAGATATAGGATACTGCATTAAGTGTCATAGGCAGTTTGTGGGCATATCTACCCATATGGTCAATTTTATTACATAATTTATATTATCTATGTTGCAAAAGCAATGATACTCTTATTTGTGACTAATTTAGTTAGTCAGAGTTTTATAATTTGACTACAGCACTTAGTGCAGTATTTTTTAAAAGAGGAAATGCCATCTGTCGTTGCTCCGATGATCAGGAGTATATTAGCTACTGAGGAAGAGAAGTGGTAGCAAGTTAGTTTCCAAATGATGTAAAGACAGAAAATAGCAGAATTTTACAATGTAAACCAAACAGGATATGGCACAGAGCAGAAAGCTAGTGGCACAGGCATAATGGTCATAAATATTGCTTATATGCAGTGACAGGATGATATGTAGCAGAGCACAGAGACTAAGTGGTTTGATGCAGGAAATTCTGTTTCAGTAGCCAAACACAAGACACAATTCACAGAACTGGTTCAAATCACTTTGGAGAGAATGATACCTTGACGTTTGACATAGATTTGGCTTTCGTACAGTCAGTCCCTATTTCAAAAATAGTAGTATGTCATTTCTCAAAGTACACACATTTCTCAGGCTTTGAACAAGTAGACTGAATTTTTGTCTTTGGCCACTTACTGTGTTTCTCACAATCTCACTGTAAATATTTTTTTTCAGAATAACGAAACTATTTAGCCACACAAGCCTAGAGAAGCATCAATGAAATGTAATCAACTGGAGTGTACATCCTTTTAGACTAGTGGTTCCAACCTTGGGTAACCCAGGTGTTCTTGGACTGTAAACTCCCAGAAATCCTAGCCAGCACAGCTAGTGGTGAAGACTTCTGGGAGTTGCAGTCCAAGAACACCTGGGTTACCCGAGGCTGGGAACCATTCTTTTTGACCAATTTGTTCCAAACAATGTGTGCTCTGATGCTGTTGGTCTACAAATCTGAGAACCTGAAGTCAGCAAGGTCACAAACTGAGAATTTTAAGGGTTTTAGTCCAGCAACCCCTGGGGACCCTAAGCAGTGGTCCCCCAACCTTGGGCCTCCAGATGTTTTTGAACTACAGCTCCCAGAAGCCTTCACCACCACCTCTGCTGGCCAGGATTTCTGGGAGTTGAAGTCCAAGAACATCTGGAGGCCCAAGGTTGGGGACCACTGCTCTAGACTGTACTTTCAAAAACAGGCTTCATACAAACATGCTGCTTCAGTTTTTTAAAAAGAGCATTTCCTTTTACAGCAGTAAAACAACAGATCTTACAGTGCAGCATTCTGCACAGCAAATATTATTTTATCATTAGAGTGCAAAGTCACTAAAAGGATACCATTCCTCAAGATATATACACATTTGTAAAAGAAATGCAAATATAATAATTCAATCTGTTTAGTTATTTGATAAGTATTCATACATAATCTATACCAGACCAACATCTGCTGTTTCATCTCTATAGTTACTTTATCATGTTTCGTATGGGCATGGGCCATTTCAAAATTAGGTGAAGGTTCCCCTTCACATTTTTAGTCCAGTCGTGTCTGACTCTAGGCGGTGGTGCCCATCCCGTTTTCAAGCCGTAGAGCCAGCATTTGTCTGAAGACAGTTTCCCTTGTCACATGGCCAGCATGACTAGGGAAGGCCGTTTTACCTTCCCACTGAGGTGGTACCTATTTATCTACTCAATTTGCATGCTTTCGAACTGCTAGGTTGGCGGGAGCTGGGACAAGCGACGGGCGCTCACTCCGTCGCGTGGATTCGATCTTACGACTGCTGGTCTTCTGACCCTGCAGCAGAGGCTTCTGCGGTTTAGCCCGCAGTTCACTGATGAAACAACCACTGTTACCAAATTTTTACACACTGATGTACAAAGAGATGTTCTTATTCTGAGAGACTCCTTTGAAATACCCAAATTGTTCTAACTGCTTTACAGAAGAACATTAACACAGTAATGTCCTTTCACATTGGTTTAATCAATTTTTTCACTGCTTTGCTTAACAGTTGCCAGGCTTCATACAATTAAAGCATTATTCTTAATAATACTCAGGATGCCCAGTTAAATTCCACCCTTTCATTCACCCATCCCTTTTATGAACCAACACGAATAACCATTCTTGTTAAAAGAACAACAAACAATTATGAGAAATAAAGAATTAAAAAATAAGACTCTCCATCTTTTGAAATTCAAAAAGCTCTGGGAATTTTGAAGTAGGTGCAAGTGATATTAACAATAGGATTCTCTGGCATACATATCGTGCTGCTATTGTTGCTGCAGCTCCACATAGTTCCTGTACAAAGAGTAAAGTCACTCATTCAACCATTATTAATCTTCAAAATATTGTCTTATATTACTACCCTCCTGACATATTTGGTGCAGTTATGCAGCCTTTCTGTGTGCAATATGCATAAATTCACAACATCATGAGAGAAACAGGTCCACATATTATGGTTCATTCAAAGATTACTTACCACTAGAATTCTCGAAGGCTTTCACGGCCGGGATCCAATGGTTGTTGTGGGTTTTCCGGGCTGTTTCCGGCCTTAAGAACATGGCCAAACAGCCCGGAAAACCCACAACAACCACACCAGTATTTCTTTCTTCCCTTTCTAATTCATCTCATGAACATGTGTTACTCAGCAAACCGTCTCCCCCAACCTGGTACCCTCCACAGATCTTTGGATTGCTACCATGCTGGGTAGGGATTATGGTAACAGAAACCCAACATTTCTGGAAGGTTCCAGGTGGGGCATGTATTTCCCACATCTGAAATCTATACCTGTTTATCATACCATTTAAACCACTGTCCTTGTTCAGTGTAATTACTACCATGGTGGGATGAAAAAAATAATTCCAGCATTTATCTTTACAGAGCTTGTGGCTAAATTCTTAGCAAATCTGGCAAAGTGCGAGAGTTGTAGATTTGCATTAACTGCTCCAGGCAGAAAAAGATAACTATATTACTTTGGTCAAGAAACAATTACTTCTTTATACCTTCAAGGGAGATGCTGTTCCTATTTTGATATTTACCACATGGCAAAGGCTGATGATATCTAAGACAAAACATTCTTGTTAAACAGAGCAGGAAGAGATACATTAGAAAACAATCTATGTCATGTGTTCTGAAAGCATTTAATCTTAACCAATGATATGTGATATGTATTAGTTTGCTGAACAAGAGAATAGTTAAACAAGAGAAATATAAATGCATTCTTTTTTAACATCAGCCTACTTATATCTGAGATTATGAAGACCCACAGAGTTAGTAATTCAATTTCCAAAACTAATAACTTTATCAACTGGATTGCTGCAGTGCCATGAATTATTACAACACAAAAAGTGAGTTAGCAAAGGGCTGAATGGCCTAAACTGCAACAGCAGTGACAATTGTTCCATGTTCAATCACTAAATTGCAAGATAAAATTTACTCAAAAAGAGTACAAACTCCAAAGTAGGGCAAAGAGTCTTTACCACGGATTCATATAATGATAAATTACATCTATATAACAGAAAAAGGCTCTCGTTGACAAAATGTGTACTGTTTTTCATTGTAAAATGACTTTTCCTCATGGACTGCATTTGCTGGCTCACAGCAGCGATTGTCCAAATAAATAGATTGTCACATTTTGTCTCAATATTTTGTTATTTTTGCCATTCCATTAAATCAGACCTGGACAAAGTGTGGCCCATGGGCCACATACGGCCTACGAACTGCTCCTGTCCGGCCTGCCCGTCGCCGCTGAGTGAGCCGGAGCTCCGGCTCCAGTCACCTAGGTAAAGGTAAAGGCTCCACTTGACAATTTTTGTCCAGTCGTGTTCGACTCTAGGGGGCGGTGCTCATCCCCGTTTCCAAGCCAGAGGCAGCGTTTGTCTGAAGACAATCTTCCGTGTACATGTGGCCAGTGAGACTTAGTCACGGAATGCTGTTACCTTCCCACCGAAGTGGTCCCTATTTATCTACTTGCATTTGCATGCTTTCGAACCGCTAGGTTGGCGGGAGCTGGGACAAGCGACGGGAGCTCACTCTGTCGCGTGGATTCGATCTTACGACTGCTTGGTCTTCTGACCCTGCAGCACAGGCTTCTGCGGTTTAGCCCACAGCGCCACCACGTCCCTGGTTCCAGTCACCTAGCACGGCAGTAAACAAAACTCATGAGATGCAATACTGGGATCTCGCAAATTTTGACTGTTACTCTTGAGCCGCAGGCTGCGGAGCCTGTGGCTCAAGAGGCTGGGAGCGATCCTTGCGCAGTTGACGTGATGACACATCACATCACCTGCGCGGGATAGAAGACAGTCGGAGTGGAAGGCCGTGGGGGAACGGAGGAC